AATTTAAAAATTATTTATATGTAAAACTATTTTCTAAAGCCGCTGGGATTGCTGAGTCTGCAAGTGAGCAATTAAAGAATTTTAGAACAACATTCTCATAACAAATACTGAGTTAATACTGGGTTCTATATAACGATGTTCATATTATTTCTCACTGCCCTGGGGCAATCACTCCCTGATTGTGAGTACCTGAGGCCACAGGCAAGTTCACTCAAGGCTGCCACGTGTCAGCAGACTAGTAGCCATTATTTACCTTTGAAAATCTTGCCACTTCAGATTTTATCTCAATTATAACGTACCACATATTTACCTTTGTGTGTGCATGCACAAAGACAGCTCTTAATAGGCCTTTGGAATTTTACGTATCTACAGCTAAGATATAACATTTTATGCCGGGCGCAATGCAAGCCTGTAATCTCAGCACTTTGGGAGGCCGAGTGAGAGGAATGCCAGAGACCAGTGGTTTTAGACCAGACTGGGCAACTTGACCAGACCTTGTCTCTACAATAAATTTTTTAAAAATTAGCTGGGTGTGGTGGCTTGTGCCTATAGTTCCAGCTACCTGGAAGGCTGAGGTAGAAGGATTGCCTGAGCCCAGCAGGTCGCAGCTGCAGTGGCTGTGAGCACGTCACTGCACGACAACCTGGGCAACAGAGTTAAGACTCCAACTAAAAAAAAAAAAAAAAAGATATAACATTTACATCTACTAAAACCTTTGTTTAAAAAGCTGATTCATAGGCCGGGCAAGGTGGCTCATACCTATAATCCCAGCACTCTGGGAGGCTGAGGTGAGGGGATTGCCTGAGCCCACAGGCTCAAGACCAGCCTGGACAACTTGGCAAGATATCATCTGTGAAAAAAAAAAAAAGCTGATTCGTATCAATCAGAAATACACATATAAGCCTGTGCCTAACAGCTCCTGGTTTCTATAGAAGTATTGAGTGTAGGTTCTGGGTAAATCCTACATTATTAATATTAGTCTATAGTCATGTATCAGACTGTGAGTTCCTTGAAAGCAGAGTCCTTGTCTTGCCCATCCTTTTCACACTGAATACCTAACAAAGTACTTGGTACCAGTAAGGACTGAAAGAATGTGCAATGAGTAAAAAACAACCAGAACAATAAATTAACATATTAGCACATTCTCTTATTACGTACAAGTTTATAGTTTATTGCTTAGAATCATTGTTAGTTGACAACTGCCATTACATGAAAATATGGAGTTAACCTGCTTCCAGAACCTATTCTCCAAGAGCTGCACAGTATGGCGGGAAGATTTTTTCCCAGCATGTGAAGACCCAGACTGCAGTTACAGGGCTGCCTCTATCAACTTTGTGCCTTTAAACAAGAAACTTTCAGCTAACATACATATACAGAGTTTAGTTTTTAAAAATTCACTGAAATGCACATCTTCGGAGAATGTTCACCTGCCATATTTTCAGTATCAGGTCAGTAGACAGAACTATTCTAATTTTTATAAAGCTTACTTGACAACAAAGATGTAGCTTTTGGAGGTTGGGAACATTACACCAACATGCCCCTCTGAACGTTGCAACTTGAACACCTCAATGCAGTAGAGCCCACACGAATCTTACCAGCTACCTTTTCTGATCAAATATGCAGTTCTACAGGTATTTATAATCCTAGAATTTTAGTTATGAATATTAGACCTGTGAAACTTGGTGGATTCACATTCTTCAGAATCAACAAAGCATTTCTGAATATTCATGAGTTTAAAAATCAGGATCAACTATTCCCAAAGGCATTTCCTTATCTTTCTGAATCCAGAAAAAGCGTTCAATGACGATCAAATGTTCTGAGCACCTTCTTCCACTAAGGGCAAAGGTGGAATGAATTGCAAAAGACAATTTATATTTCTTATGCTATAAAAGCTGCTGCTCAGCTGTGACGATAAAAACCCAGGTAATCAATGATTCTCAGAATTTTCACTCTATTAACAGCACACTTTAATGTTTCAGTCTGTATTTATTTAGAAGAAAATTTCAACCTAAGAGTACATGTTCAGGCACAAAAGTAAGTATGCTTAAAAGCTAAACTGCCAAGACCCAAATTCTTCTAAAGACATTACTAAGGGGAAAAAAAATCTTATAATTAGTAACAAGGACCAGCATAACCAGGCAGTGCCTAGAAGTCGTGTCATCAGGGAAACAGGAAATAATTTTAACACTTGACACTCACTTTTAAAATGTTGTTAATGCTTCAGTTATGCTTCAAATATGCCTACAGTTGACGCCATCATGACAGCAAGGGTACATTTCCAATCACATTTGATGTAAAGACAAATTTCTCATTAAGGAAAAGTAACTTTTGTGAGAAATCTAAATTTAAACCTTTCAGTTTAAAGCTCTAATTATATTCCATATAGGAAATTCTGTAAGCACACTTCTTCAGAGTTTTTAAAGCAATCAGCCCAGGCAATGTTAAATGATCATGACTCTCTCAAGAAACAGAGCAGCACTGTCCAGAAGCCCCTCACATTTGTGGCTCTGCGTACTCCCTGTGGGCTGTGCCAACCTACTCTCTCCCCTGTAATGACTCTTTGTTTTTACTAAGTCCCAAAAGGCTGGGGAGAACTTTGCAAAGAGAAGGGGGGAGGGTGGGTGGAATGCAGCTGCAGGCTCTAAAACAATGCTGAGTCCATATATTTTGTTCCCAGTTAGAATAATAAAAGGGTGGGGGGTTGAGGAGACAGACTCAGAATAAGCAGGGTAGGGCCAAGCATCCCACAGCCCCAGGTCTCTGGCACCTCCACCCGTCTACTCTACCAAATTCAATTGCCATTCATTTATCTCTTAACATTCAAACACCCATTCAGATTTAACCCTATCAGTCATTTATATCAAAACTACTTACATCAGTGAACTACACAAGGCAAGGAGTAGAGTAGGAAGAGAAAGTGGAGTGGGCCAAGATAAACCAGGAGAGCCTGGACACATGGGTATGTGACATTATGGGGGAGACAGATTGGAAAATTTGGAAAAGAAGGCCCAAGGTTTCAGATATCAACTGCCTGTTTTACAGTGGTGCCCAGGACCTGAGGGCAACCAGTATGCTAGAGCAAACCACACTCCCTCTGAGGTTGTACAAAGCTACAAGAGGAAAATAGGAGAACCTGGATGCCTGCACACATTGGGCCCCCATTGCTTAGTCTTGCAGTTTGCAGTTTACTTTGGTGTCTCCTAAGAAAATGTCCTGGGCAAGTGGGTGGGAGAAAAAAAGAAAGAAAGAAAGAAAATGCCCTTTACTTATATTTCCCTAGCCTTGATGTCCGAACTGGGAGAAAGAGAGAATGACAGAAAGCAGTAACACCAGAACAGTCCTACAACCCCCAGTGCAAGAAAGCAGCTCAAACGTTCCTTCCTCCCCTAGTCCGCTCCTCCCAATATCCTTAGTGAATCCAGAGTCCTCCAGGGCTCATGGAAACAGGCCTGCCCCTGGAACTTCCCTTCACATACTACTGATGCCATTAAAACTTGCAGGAAAACTCAAGAAGCCTTAAATTAGCAACGGAACTGATGCCTAAAAGAGAAAAGCAGCACGTGCTACTGACTACCCAAAAGCTATATAACAACATGCAGAAGAACACTTAATCCCAATTAGGATCCCATTCAGTTACTGGGGGGGGGGGCGGCAGATAAAAGGACTTCAATGTAAAGCTGTTGTGTAGAAGCAAAACTCTGACACCCACACAAATATCTTCTTCAAGGTAGCATGACACACATTTAGAAGCACTCTTAGTTCGTGTTGAATGATGTAATCTGACTCTCAAAATGTTTTCAAGTTATAAAGTATAGAAAGATTGCATTTATTTACATTGACATTTTTGCATTTTGTTACATAAAAGCAAAAAAATCACAAGTATGCAGATTTGCAATAATCAAGAATATAATTTCCCTCCCTCAGCTTGCCTTTTCTCTATAGCCTTAAAATCCACTCAGAAGCCGGGCTTGGTGGCTCAGCCTGTAATCCCGCGCCTCTGGGAGGCTGAGGTGAGTGGATTGCCTGAGCCCGCAGGTTCGAGACCCGCCTGGGCAGCGAGACCTCATTTCTACAATAAATCAAAAAAATCAGCCGGGCGTGGTAGTGCATGCCTGTAATTCCGGCTACTGGGAAGGCTGAGGCGGAAGGATCGCCGGAGCCCAGCAGGTCGAGGCTGCGGTGGCCGGAAGCGGCCACTGCACTCCAGTCTGGGTGACAGAGTGAGACTCCAACTCAAAAAAAACAAAACAAAACAAAACAACAACAACAAAAAATCCACTCAGATATTCCAAATTTTTACACCATAGCCAATATATAGACACATAGAGAAATGCATATTAATTTAAATGAGGAAGTAAAAAAGAATAATTGAAACTACTACTTATTTTATTAATATCAAATATTAATAGTAACAATTAAAAACAATACTGGTACTACTCCTGGTAACGTTTAACATCTATTATAAATACAAAATTCATGGGTCTATTTTATTAGGTATCAACATTGCTGCTTTTAAGTGCAGCAATAGACACAGAAACTTCTGTTTTTTCTATACATTAGGAAAACTCAACTTCTATATATTTCATTTCCTGGTACGTACACTTTAAAAAAGTAAGTGTACAATCAGCAAAATTTTGTTAATAGTAAAAACAATCGCAGTCATAACTTGCCTTATGGATGTTTAGTTGTGGTAAACGAAATATATTCACATAATATCTTGATATATGTTATACTTAAAAAAAAGGCTCAAATATGCAATTGTCCATGATTTGGAAAAACCACTCTCAATATCAATAATTATTTCTGAGTTATTTTTTAAATTAATTAAGAAAAAAGATTCAAACATCTTAATCAAAATGTCAGAAATTTTCATTTAGTCACAAAGTTCACAAAATGGGTGACTGATTATATTAAGAGGCTCAGTTGAAAACAATTTAAAAATATAAATAGCATGTACGAAGAATATTAGATTTTTTTGCTAAATCAATAAGAGTACTCACCCCTTGGAGTCCTTGGAACTGAATCGAAGGTCGAAAAGGAATTACATTCTATTAAAAGAAACAGATAAAAATTGGTTACTGTGACACAGAACTAAATGTGAAAGCTTCAAAACTATGTATTTGTTCAGTACCATAGTGTGGAAACATCTCTTCATTATATATTTACATATGCATGTCATTATATAAGATGTTTGGGATGAACAATATCACACTTTTCACATTTCTCTGTACCACACAACCAAAAGGTATTTTTTGGCAGTGTAGCTAATCATGTTTTTGAAACCAATTCAATTTTACACTTAAAAAAACCAAATTGTTGCTTAGTTTCCTAGTATATTTTAAATAGGGATAAGAAGAGGAAAGACATAATTTGAGGAACTTTGCAATACTCAAGCAGAATACTAGAAATATAAAACTAAAATATTTGAGAATGAACTTCTGCTATTTTCTCACATTTTACCAGAGATTTGTTTTTACTTGAGGGTCAAACAGGTAACCAATTTTCTCATAAGATGCTTACCTGGAGAACATAGTTTCTAGATCAATGTTTGTTTTATTACGAGCATTGTCTTTTTATTTATTTATTTATTTTGAGTTGGAGTTTCACTCTGTCGCCCAGACTGGAGTGTAGTGGCCACTCCCAGCCACCGCAGCCTCGACCTGCTGGGCTCCGGCGATCCTTTCGCCTCAGCCTTTATGACTTTAATATTTTCTTACAGAGTTGTGCATTTGGAACAACAGCTGTAACTGTAAACATCAGCCATGGTCTCTGGCATGATCTCCTGTATTCAAATTCACCAGTATGTTTTGCTGTGGGAATGCTTTTCCAAATTGCTAACAGAAACTCATGCGTAAATCAGATTTGAGTCATGTTTAATAGAACCATAGCCTGTAAACTACACTTCTCACCCTCATATCCACATCCAATGTAGAAAAACAAAAACAGTAGTTTCTGGTCTCTTCTCTACCCCAGATAAAAAGCCAGAAGCACTCAGATGTCCCTCCCCTCATTCACAACAGCACCAACTACTTTCAGTCACTTCCCAAACTCCTCTGCAGATTTAAAAGTTCACTAATCAGGGCCAGGCTTGGTGGCTCAGCCTGTAATCCCAGCACTTTGGGAGGCGGAGGTGAGTGGATTGCCTGAGCTCGTGGGTTCAAGACCCACGTGGGCAACTTGGCGAGACCTCATCTCTACAATAAATCAAAAACTAGCCGGGTGTGGTAGCTCACGCCAGTAGTTCCAGTTACTTGGAAGGCTGAAGCGGAAGGATCGCCGGAGTACAGCAGGTTGAGGCTGCAGTGGCCGGGAGAGTGCCACTGCACTCCAGGATGGGCGACAAAGTGAGACTCCGACTCTAAATAAATAAATAAATAAAAAGTTCACTAATCAGGACTGTAAGAAACTAAAGAGAAATAAGGAAATGATAAGTACTTCTTTAAAAGACAGACTGATTACCTGAGTGTGAAATCTGGTGGTAACATAAACCATCTTAACATAATTTATAAAAATGAATAAACAAACATATTCTTGAAGAAAACATTTCAATGGGTACTGTTATCATTGTTTTTCAGCCATTAAAGATTATTTAACTTTAGAATTAACATAATAAAAGTGCTATGGGTAACAAATTCATTTCTTGGTGTAGGATAAAATGGTTTTTGTTTTTTTTTGAGTTGGAGTCTCACTCCATTGCCCAGACTGGAGTGCAGTGGCACTCTCCCGGCCACCGTAGCCTCGACCTGCTGGGCTCCGGCAATCCTTCTGCCTCAGCCTTTCCAAGTAGCTGGAACTACAGGAGCACGCTACCATGCCTGGTAAAATTTTTTAGATGTATTGTAGAGATGAGGTCTCGTCAAGTTGCCCGGGCGGGTCTCGAACCCACGGGCCCTTGCAATCCACTCACCTCGGCCTCCCAAAGCGCTGGGATTATAGGCTGAGCCACCGAGCTGGCCAGATAAATGGGTTTTTACAAAAGGATAAGACAAAAAGGTAGTGCTTGAATTTTTAAAACCTATTTTGTAGTAGTGCTTTATTCTAATTCATGAACTTTTAAGAAAATAAAAAATATAGATTAACTTTCTTTGGGGAGTGGGAATTGCACCCCAATACTCCTTCCATGGTTAAACTTCCTCTTTCTGAAATAATGGAAGTGTGTCCACAGGGGCCAGGAGCCCCTCTTCGTGTGGATGTGAGGCGGTTCTACTATCTCGGCAACACAGGTTCCGATTCTGTCTTCACAGTGTTTCGATCAGCTTTGCCTCCCGAATCTCCCTTCACATCACCCAAACAGACATCTCCCTAAAGACAATTACACTTCCCTCCCTTAAGTCCTTGCAACTCAGAGGTGACCTTACACTCATCACTGAAATTTGAAATTCTCTCTCCACCAGGTTTATCAATTTTTTGGTCAAATGAATGCAAACTTTTTCTCAGTTTTCAAACTGCTGATTTCTCCACTGGATATTTCCTCTTTTTTGCACTTAGAGACACCAGTCCTCCCTGCCCTCTGACCATGCATTCCATTTCAAAAGTTAGTGCCCCTCCTTTCCTCTTTCCAACTCTGCTTCATCCTGGAGGCTCAGTGTACCTGTATGGTGATAACTCTGAATCTCTCTCCCACTCCTCAACTGGTATCCCTCCACAGCCTGCTCCCTTCTACTGTGCTACAGGACATTTTGTATCAGAATTCTGAGCTCTTGATGACTGGCAAACACTAAACTCCCTCATCTCCAGTCTCCCCAAACAAACTGGCACCTCTTTCCCACTTTTCTGGCAAGGGAATGTTTATCTTCTTCGTTCCCCAGCCTCACCACCTTAGAATTAATTTATAGTCTCTTTTGCCACCCCCCCACACTCCATATTCAATTAGTCAATTACATGTCATTAGAATCACAGAATTCCAGATCCAGAAGAGAGGCCTTAAAGATCATACAGTTGATGTCTACCCCCACAAGTGCTATGTCCCAACAATAGCTACGCAGGAAACAGAACCCAGCCAGCACTCAATCTTCCTGTGTTGCCATGCTGCTTTTCTTCTACTACCTTGTGTTCCACAACCATGTGCTATGGGAGGTTTGAGAGTGTGGGGGCCTAATCACTCATGCTAGAGTGTACTCATTTTGGTTGGGGAAAATTTTAGAATGATTAGGTGCTAGGCTAAGTACTACTGGGAAGCACAGTGAGAAGTATCACATAAGAGAGAATAGATACTAGAAAAGTCAAAGGTGTATGGAAAAAGTGGTCAGTTCCAGGGAGAAGGAATGCCCCAGGAAATGGACAAGGAGACAGGCCTGGGCGAAGTGTGGGTAGAGGACAGGTCTGCATGAGCACAGAGCTCTTCCACACTTCAAACACAGTAGCAGGGGTAACACTGCACCTGGCAAGTCCTGCTTCATCTTTCCTTATCCTCAAAATCGGTCTTAGGTTTTTGTTTCTATCTGCTACAGAAGAAACAGGACAAGACTTTAAATTGCGGACTTTAGGATAACTCTGTGTATCATCCTGTGAAATAACTCTGCCCTAATCCCCTCCTTACCCTTCACTGCTAAGCTTCAGTCTCACCTTTGACGTGATCAACAATTGGAGGGTCCAAATATTGTGAATAAGAAAGGGAGTTGCTAAAAGAAGTGTTTTGGAAGAAGGCAGCTCTTTCACCATATGTAAAATAGAGGGAGAGAGAAGGACTGGGGTAGGACAGGGCTAGAGAAACAGACTAGAGAAAACTCCAGAGGCTGCTTTAGAAATACTCTGGATGTGGTGATAAAGGCCTGAAATTAGTATGACTGCATCTGGAGCTGACAGGAGATGATAGGCAGAGCAGACATTTCCAAGGAGAATGATAAGATGTGCTGCAAGCTTAACTATCAGGCACCAAAGAAAAAAGGATGCCAAGGTGGCTCCGGGGCTCCCAATCACCAGCTCTTACCAGGCTGCCCCAAATTATCTCCAATGAAGCTCTTAGCCTCTATTCTGAAAGCCAAGCCCTTATGACCTCTCAACTAGATAAAAGCTTTCTCCCTTCCTTCAGGTCTTTCCAAAAAGTTGAAACAGCCAGCAGAATCTCTCTCACACACCACTCAGCCCGCAGTGGTTCTTCCTACTGTCAATCAAAGCCAAGCAAGCAACTGAGTAGACAACACACCCGCGATGATAAGAACAACCAATTTCATCTTCTACTTCCGCCCAACAGTGGCTCGGCTATGTTACCCTGTTTTGTTTGCCTGTTTTGCAAGCATTTTCCTTTCTATTTCTGTCTCCTTCCTGTTCCTTCAAACTGGCGTAACTTCCCAAACACCATCTTACCTATCCCTACATATTGCCTACTTAACATTCAAACTCAATGTTAATTTCCTCAGCTAGGCCTTCCTTTGGATAAGCCAGGAGTCAAAGGCTCAAAGTTTCAATGTCTTCAAGGGTCCAAGGGAGATACATGTGGAACAGATAGATATAAAGCAACAAGAAGTGGCAACTACCTGGAGAAAGAATGCCTAAAGGAGAGGATTCCAATTTTAAAGCAATGTTAAACCTTCTTCTAGCCAAATAAATCACTGCTGCTGCTATTTTGCTATCTCAGAACTAGGCCCACTTTTGAGTTAATACCCACCAGCTGTTTTGGCCAGTGTCCACTCTTCCACTACAGTGGGGTGTATTTTTCACAAGTTGTCTTACTTCTATTTGCTATGATACAGAGGAGTCTTAGGCCTAGTTAACTTACAAGCATTTATCTTGTAAATACCACAATGTGCTCAGCTTTAAAAAAGTATTGTAAAATCATTTTGGATATATTCTCTTTATATATGCAATACACTACTATACACATTATACACTTATACAGATTACTATTCAGGGCTGTACTGACAAAACAATGTGTATTATTCTCCACATCAATTTACAGACTTTTAAGAGTAATTTTGACTGTATACAATTTTATGCCTCACGCTCTGAATTTAGAATCTAACCTTTCAATATGCTTATAGTTTTACCTATATTGCCTAAGTCCTCAAAAAGAATGATCATTTAATCTAGTTTTTCAATGTAACAGTAC